ATATATATATATATATATGTATATAGACTATTTATAAATAGTCTAACACAAGGAAGTGACATTGACTTTTATCAATCATATTTTTAAAATGCAAGGCTGTAAGTGGTCATTGGCTGGCTTCAAAGTTAAAAAACAAATTGTTGGACATCCCGAAACACCCCAAACCATCCAACATGACATTTAATGGCTTTGAATGATTGTGACATCTTTACCATCGTTATCATTCACATCACAGTTTTTTTTTCAACTAATTGGGATTTGACTATACAAATCTTGATATACCAATTAATTAGGTATTAATTTGTTAACTAGTAGGAATTAACACGATAAATTGCTTTTCACCCCAAGCCATGAGACGTATCACCTTTTGTCCCTTGACTTCCATTAATAGACAAGGTTTTTATGACTGCCCAGCCTCACTCATTTAAATGAGTCCTCCATCCAAAATCCATTTTAAAAATGGATTTTGCATCTAATTTAAAGATAAAAATCTAAGTTATGATTAATATGAATCTGAAAAAAATAAATAAATAAATAAATTTTAAAAATAAAAAGTTAAAATTTTAATGTTATGTTAACACTGTGAATTTACGTGGGGCCACCATTCATTTACGTCCAGCCACAAGATGGATGTGAAGTGTGTCACGCTATTGTGGAAGTGTGTCCTTTCACACGTCCTACTTTCCCTTTATTTATATGGGTAATTATTTTTAATATATTTATATTTTAATAAAATAAAATAAACCCAACTTCTTAAAATCTCACCTACATATTTTTTTTTTTTAATTTTTGGTTTTTTTTCTAACGATAATAACTTTCACGATAGTCTTTTTACCGTAAAGAACATTACGGTAATTTAAATACCGTAATATGTAGAAAAGTCCATACTGTAATTTATATACCGTAATTTTTAAGATATTTTATTAGGTAATTTAAATACAATAAAAAACATAACCGAACTTTAATTACCATTATATATAAATATATTATTCACATCATCATTTTTATTACCGTAATAAAGTGAAAAACTTCAAATCGAAACTGATATAAAAGCTACCGCTTTTGTCCCACGCTATGTGAACTTGCCTTAGAAGCACGATAATCCTCTTAATTTTCAAGCTCCTTCATTCCTTATTAGAACCAAACCTCCCTTGCTTAAAGCAACCTGATCCAAAACCATTATACTTTTGCTTGCTTTTCAAACGCAAACCGGAGCAAGAAAAACCAGTTTCAAAGGTACGCAAAACCCCAAACCATCTACACCCACAAAAATCCATTGAGAAAACCATCCTAGTGAATACGAGAGCAGAAGTTGAGAAAACCACTCCACTAAATAGGGGTTTATTTGCAGTGGCCGGAGGGAAGCTTATAAGGCGGATTAGAGCTATGGCTTTCGAGGCAGTGTTGAGGCAAGAGATGGGGTGGTTCGATGAGGTTGGGAATACGAGTGCAGAAGTTGGGTCGAGGCTTGTGGCAGATGCAGCTGGTGTGCGGGCTTTGGTGGGTGACACCCCTGCACTTATTTTACAGAATTTGGCAACTGCAGTTGCTGGGATAGTAATAGGCTTTGTGGCCAATTGGCAGCTGGCACTGATTTTCAACAATTGATGCCCAAATTGGGGGAGAAGTCTTCCCATCATCTCTGTTTTTACCTCATTGTTGGGAAAAACAATTCTTTTAACTGAACAGGTGAAAATTTTATACTCCGTAAACAAATCTGCTTCACCCCATATCAACTCTTTCCCCAACAAACCCCCTGCCCCCCTTTCAATTCCCCTCAACTCTCAGTCAGTCTCTCGTCTCGGAATTTTTTTGCGACATGTTAACTATCTCTCTCCTTGGAATTTTCAAGATATCTTTGTCCAGGCAGCCAGATCGGCTCCTAGGGATTATTTTTATTTTTTATTTTTGTTTATTTATTTATTTATTTTATTTTTTTTATTTTTTATTTTTTTTATTTTTTTTTTGAGGTAGAGGATAACCTTGGGGGTTTTAAACAATGATAGTTAGTGTTCTTTTGTTTCTCGTTATTTCAAATAAACCACCCGTTTCCATTGAGAAAACCAGTTACAGACCTTCTAAGGCAAGTTCACGTAGCGAGGGAGGAGGGGGGTAACCCGATATTAGCTTCGGTTTGAAGCTTTTCAATCATCAGGATAAATAAGAATGGCATGAAGAATAATATATTTATATATTACGGTAAACTAAGTACCGTAATGTTCTTTACGATAATTAAATTACCGTATAAAATATTGTAAGAATTATAGTATATAAATTACCGTATAGACTTTTCTACACATTATGGTATTTAAATTACCGTAATGTTTTTTACAGTAAAAGGACTATCGTGAAGGGTATTTTCATCCAAAAAAAGCCGAAAATTGAGAAAAATTGTATAGGTGAGGTTTTGAAAAGTTGGAGTTTTTTTTTTTTCGATTTTATTAAAATATAAATATATTAGCGATACTTACTCTATTTATATCTATATAGGTTGTATAGTTAAAGAAAAGTGTTTTGTGTTGGGGATGGAATCCTCCATTTGTGTCCTCTTAATCATTAAACATCCATCTTTAAAGTGGTGGTCCCTCCAAAAAAATTAAAAATAAAAACCGATGGTCCAAAAATTTCTTCAAAATATTATTATTTTAGTTTTTAGAATTTAATTTTTTACATATCAATGATATCCATATTAGAGATTATATATTCCAAAAGCATTAGATCCAAAATCCATCTCAAAACTGGATCATGGAGAGGGGATGAATTTCTACTTATGATCAGTCGGGGCCCTCATGAAAATCGTCTCCGTTTAGGCCTGGTCAAGGACACCATCCTACTATTTACCATTGTTTCAAAGAGTTCATAATCACTTCTAACCATTAGATGTCAAATTGGATGGCTTGGGGTGTGTCACGAAATTCAAAAAACCAAAAAAAAATTGAACTTTGAGTGTAGTTGATGGCACACTTACAACCACCCAATTTAAAATCAGGTGGACAAAAGTGATTGTGACTCCCTTGTCCTAAAAATAAATTGTCTTTTTGTACACGTTTCTTATCTAGATAGAGATTAGGTGTTTTGGCTTTGACTATTGTCAATCAATGGCCGAAAACACATGATCTGAAAATATTAAGATGAAAATTTCGCAAGATAATAATTTAAGACTCAAAAAATTTAGTAAAAATCAAATCACCAGTAAATGTTGATTCTTGATCATCTGGACGAAGGAAACAGAAGATAAGGTTTTAAAGGCCCAATTATTTTTATGCTTTCTTGCTACATTAGTTTAGAAGAAAATAAAATATGAACTAAAATTTGATAATAATAGGAAAGTGGTTAGGGTCGCGGTGTCTCGTAAGGTTTAAGTTTCCATTCTCATCGGTCTTACGTTAACAATAAAGAAAATAAATAATCTACCAAAAATTATGGGATCCAAAATATCTCCCGCTTGATGTACCTGAAGATGTGCTAGGGTGGTCCGGGCGGACCATCCTATAACAAGTTCTAAGATTTTTCAAGTTAAAAGACAAAGAGTCTTGGCTTTCAAGAAGGGTGGCAACGGGCTGGGTTTGGGACAGGCTAGCCTTGGCCGTGGCCTAGCCTTTGTCCCAATAGGGCCAGTTTAGGCCTTGTTATGGCTAGGCTAGGGCGGGGCCACATGCAAATGAAGACAATATATAAGAAAAAATAAGAATAAAAAGAAAGCTAAACGGGCCGGGCCATATTTAGCTTAGCATTGGCCCTAGTCCCGCCCTCGGGCCACAATTTTAGACCCAGGCCCTACTTTTTTAGCGCCTGCCCAAGCTGCCTGGTCCATTGCTAGCCCTACATCCAACTAACGCTGAGTGGTGGGAATCGAATCAGCAGAGAAAAGCTGTGATTTATGGGTATGTTATTATATAGACCGTCTCGGTTCGATCTTCATCGTCCGAGGTCGACATGAGTTCCCTCAGTGAATATCCACCATCCAACCAGCATAAGCTATGACGCCATTACTCACAAGGGAGCATGGTGCATGCTCATGCTCATGCTCATGCCACTGTCCCAACGAAAAATTCGTTGCCTTGTGTAAGCCCCCTTAGAGAAGCTTTTTTACGAAGAGAGCTAAGAGAATGAAGCATAGGTGCAATTTGTACCGTACCACAAAACATCCCAATATAACTTATTCTTTGGTCTCCGAAATCAAGAAAGCCACAAGTTTATATACTACCGCATGAGCATATCATCAATTCCATCTTAGTTAAAAATAGTGATTTAAACAAGGTTTAAAAAAACTG